AGGTTTTTGATTTGTGAGTAAGGACTAGTGCGGGGATTAGGGTAAGGGGCATTAAAATGTGTATTTAATATGTCCGTCGGCATACTTAGAAGCACCACACAACAGCAATTAAGATTATTATCAATGCACACATTCAGTAGCGCAGATGGTGGCTCGTGAAATCTCATACATATTGTTAGAGAACTAATCTTTTATTTTTAAAGTTTGTAATGCATTGTTGTATTGAATGTGAGTTTAAAAACGCATTGTTTTATAGGTTTCAAATGTTTGTTTTGTAGTTAAACTACTGTAATAATTGAATTCAACAAATTGCAATATGATTTTTTAAAAATGTTTTATTGAATTAGGGAAAACGTTGTTGTTGAAAGAACCTTTACAATAAGGATATCTAACATTATTTTCACAAACAATTACAGATGGCTAATTATTCCAACAGCAGTCGAAATGTGTACAAAACTTTAGTCATAGCACATGTGTGTGTGTGTGTGTGTGTGTGTGTGTGTGTGTTACCTTCATGTGTAAAGTGTCAGTAAGGTAAGTCAGTCAATAGACGTGTATGTTACCTTCATGTGTAAAGTGTAAGTAAGGTAAGTCAGTCAATAGACGTGTATGTTACCTTCATGTGTAAAGTGTCAGTAAGGTAAGTCAGTCAATAGACGTGTATGTTACCTTCAAGAGTAAAGTTTACGAGAGGTATGTATGTTGTTATTGTAACCACGATTATCTGAACATTGCTTTCATTTAAATATTAGAGTTCCTGAGCAATTATCTTGACAGGATAATACAGAGTATATGTGATAGTATCTTGACAAGATAATACAGCTTTAATACTAGAATATCTGTTAAATTATCTTGAAAAGATAATAGCTTTAATACTAAAGTATGTCTGTAACTTCACACGGTAATACCGTTTTAATACTAGACTATCTGTGCTCGTATCTTTAAAAGATAATACAGTTTTAGTATTGGAGTATGTTTGACATTACCTTGACAAAATATTAGTTTTAATAATGTATCTGCGCCAGCATCTTGACAAGAAGATACAGTGTAAATACTGGAGTATCTGTTAAATTATCTCGACAAAAATACAGTTTACTTACTAGAGAATCAGTGACTGTATCTTGTCAAGATAATATTCTTGAATACTAGAGTATCTGTTAAATTATCTTGACAAGGTAAAACAGTTTTAGTATCTTTCAAGGCCGTAAAATATGTTTAGCATAAGGTAACGATAGGGAAGTCCCAAATCAATTGTTGTTGATGCTTCATTTATTGTCCGATTTTGACTAAATATGTCATTTATTGTCCGATTTTGACTGAAAATGTCAATTAGTCCAAAAAAAAATTTAAACATTTATTTTTTGTTCCGTTAAATATATGAAGAAATGATCATGCTTATAAATTTTCATTTGCTAAATATTTTGTTGAGTACAATGTTTAATTACTACTTACAAGATGAATTGGTCTCATTATTGTATCGATTGTGATCAGGACTTATTAGGTTAATTGATTAATCTGAGTTTGGTTTTGATCATGGTTGTAGGTTAATCTTGAAGGATAGTAGACTAATTACTGATAATAAAATGTGTGTGTATTTCCCCGATGCCTCTTACCTACCCTTGCCCACATCTCTTTAGTATGCTTTTATGTATTTTGGACTCTTTCCTCTTAAGTTTGATATGAAAGACTTAATGTTCTAATTTTAAAGTGAGTTGAGTACGCATGTGTGAACGCGTTGGGTGTATGTGAATGTATTGGCTATGGGTGTTAAATTAAAGCGTTTTGAAAAAAAATAATATATAAATTCTTTTAAAATATTTAAAGAACCGTGCATAATAGCGTATTTTTAAAAAAATCATAAATAGTGTAAAATTAAATTTTAAATCATTCAATTTTTGTTTAAAGTACGGTAGGAAATATAGACAATAAAAATTTGTATTGAATTAATCAAAACATTTCTAATCAATTGATCAATTTTTCTAACGTTAAATCCTTTTGAAAAGAGGAAAAAAACAATAAATTTCAAACTGGGAACGACTTTAAAAAAAATATTAAAACAGTTTATAGTTAGTTTGAAATAAATAAAAGTTATGGAAGCGCTGAATCTCTGTAATGGCCATCTTGAGCGATAAATAATTAATTTCACGCCCCGAAGAGCTCTATTTTCCTTTCGTTTTCCGATACCGTATTTCTGCGTATTAACATTACTTATTTATTGTCGTCAATAATCCGGCCTATTATGCGCTCGGCGATTTGATTACCCGAGGCGCTCTTTGAATATTTTTTCCCTCTTCGCTTTATCACATCGTCATTGTCTATAACAAACATAATTTTTTTTTTTCCTAAATTTAAAATTCACATTTATTTCGTTTCATTTTGCTTAATCTTTTTTAATAAAAAAAAATATTTTCTATGAAGTTTTGAAGGAGTTAATGAATTGCTTGAACGAACCTGCAACGGAAACGCCCCCCGGTCATGACATGCGCAAGGCCCGGGGTGGATGATGCTATTCAATTAAAATACAGATAGGGAAGCCTTCTTCAAATGTCAACCTGTCCATTCAACGTGTAAAGTAGTATCGAATTACACAATAATCGCTCGCATTGAAAGAGTTTCGCTCTATAAATATTTAATATGGCTATCTCCGTATTCAATATTGATTTTTTTTTTACTCTTTCATTTAATTTTTTTTTTTTTTTTACGACAGACTGTAGAAATCAGGGGAAATGTTTCTCATGGTTGAAGTTTTAGCCTTTAAAGGTAGGCCTAACTCTTTAATAAAAAAAACACAAAGTGTATTTGTTTACATTTTTTTTTTTAGATTTTAGTTGTGTTAATCAATAATGATTTTTTTTTTAGTTTTAAAAATGTTGTTTTAATTAATTAGAGACAGATTTAATTAGACTCAATCTTTTTCGCTCTTAAACGTTGGAAAAATATTTTTAAAAAAAACATAATATTGTCGAGATTTTAATTAATTATTTTGATTAATTAATTAAACTGACGCAATGCGTTAGTTGGAGTTGAAATAGTTAGGGCTGGGATTAATTTCTAAAACAATTTCATGCTTAAGATGGCGTGTTCCAGTTGAAAAGAAATCTGGAAAAAACTTAAAGAACAGTGCAAAACAACACCATCGTTTTTCCGCCTATATCAACAGCAACAATAAAACAATAATAAAAACAATAATTGGGAAATACACCCGACAATTTTAGTCAAAAATATTATTTAAATATTTTCTTTTTTTTTCACTAAATTTACATAGGTGTTTATTTTTTTAATGCCGTACCTCCGAAAAAAATTGTTTACCAAACTAAAATATAGATCAAATTCTAATTGTAATGGTACGCTAAAGTGCTACAATTAATGTCTAAAAGCAGCAATCTATTAGACTATTTTTTAACAACCAATATAGAACTTGTTAGTTAATTGTGGACACTCACACAAACACATACAGCAGTAACACGCGTGGTTCGGTATTTAGCCGACCTCACTTATACAAGACAAAAATGTTGTTGATAGTTGGCAATTATACACTAGTTTAATATCTAATTGTACACACATATATATATATATATATATATATATATATATATATATATATATATATATATATATATATATATATATAATGCACATTTTACTGATTCAGTTACTACAAGAAGACATAGTATATAATAAATAACAGTAAATATGCACATCATATATCAAAAGTTATATACACGGTATATGCATAAACTATAAGTCAAATTTAGATCGCATAAAAGTAGTTACAAATATATATGTATTACATTAAGCATAAACATCGGTCTCATGAAGTAAATCGCTTCTGACAAATATTTCCACTGGACTATCCAGATGTGTATCAAGGCTAAGGTTGTGTAGGTTTTACTGTTAGAGTCGGAATTTCGGCCGTGGTTCTGGGTAAAGGTTAGATTTACTGTAGGGATGGAGTCAGGGTTAGATTAACAGTTAACAATTAACAGTATTGTAGTAAGCAAAGAATATTTTTTGTGTTATTTTTTATTTTAAATACTCAATCCGTTTGGCATTTTTAAATTTCTCCATCTTACTTTAGAAGCGATAGTTTAATTAAACCACACCTAATTTCTAGTATTCCGTGAAACATGTAACGGCGACAGCATTACCTAACCAAAACACACCTAGCCCTTATGATCTAACCTAAGATAACGACATACCCCAAACGAATTATAAGACATAAAAGTTACAAGTACCTGTAATGTATACAACTTAAAGCCTGATTTAAATGTACAAAAATATTAAGTGAACTTTGACTATTGAAAGGACGCGAGGTTTTACTGATAAAGGGCCTGGTAGGGTCAGTTCCATGATTATAATTTCAGGAAATATTTAATTAAAGTTATGTAATTACTAACAATTACCTTTTCATTTAAGTCTCGATTATTGGACTTTTTTTTTTTTAATTTATAGAAATAGCAACTTTTTTATATAATCCCCAAGATAGTAAAATTAGTTTAACGCATTTTCGGGTTCTTTTATTTTTGCGAATTAATGAAAGTATTATAAAATATTACAATAATGTTACAGTATATTATAACAACTTAATGTAAGCTATAGGAATACCAACTCCGGTTTCCGTTCGGCAACTTCTGCAACAGACTTTGATAACAAACCTAGAGGTTACAATTCATTTGAACTACACCATTAAATATCGGGAGACTTATCATGATACTTTAGCAACACACTATCTCTTATTTTTACACCCGTGAGTGCGCCAAGGATTCCACTTCAAGGGTGCATCCATTGTCTACCGAGGCAAGATTAAACCATATATACATACACACAATATATATATATATATATATATATATATATATATATATATATATATATATATATATATATAATATATATATATAAATAATGTTTTACCAAAATCTATTCGCCGTTTATGGCATTAACAATGTAAATGCGATTAAGAATGACTAAAAACAAGACAAGATTGCCCGTGTACTTACCATCAGGATGCTGAGAGGCTATGAGACCGTCGGGATGTTGTGAGGCGATAAGACCAGGGTACCAGGGGTACCAGAGTCCGTAACTGGCCGCCCTGGAGGCCAGCCCCGGGGCCAGACGGGCGTGGTCGGAGTAGAGCTGGAACCTCTGGTAGAGATCTGAGATGCTGGTCACGACGGCCTCCTTGCTGCTGTCCTTAGTCCTGTCGCTGGCGTCCTCGTCCTTGTCGTCCCTGTTCTTATCGCGCCGGTCGCCCGAGTCTGTTTTATCCTCGCCTAAGATACTACTGATGGAGAAGGAGGATTTTTTTAAGGGCGCCGGGGCGGCCGAGGCAGGTTTGGGCGCCGGGGATTTGGGCGTCGTTGTGTTAAGGCCGGGCGATAGGCACGGCACCGAGGACGGGGAGCCGGATGTCTTTGAAGGCAGGGAGGAGTCGTCTGTTGCCATGGTTACAATTTTCGTATTTTATTTAAAGCGGAACAAACAAAAAAAAATATATAACCACTTTGTTTTTTTGTCAAAGCAAATAGTTAAAATATATCAGCAAAATAAATTTTATATCCACAATTTCACAGGCCGATAAACGAAAAATTCACCATTTCACAAAATTAAATGTAAATGATATTTATAATAAAAAAATAATTTATTAAAACTTTTCCATGTTTTTCAACATTTCGTAAAGAATCAAGTCAATTTTTCCAGTAACTAAAATCCGTTCGTGAAGTTCCTTTTCACCGATATCGGGTGTTTTAAAACCAAACACCGCATACGTTGCGCTTGGTACGCGTCGCCAAACCTCTAATCAATGAACCTTGGTGTTTGCATCTTGTAAAGTCAACAACATCCGCTAGTCGTGAGTTCGATTCCTTGTCCAACTTCGCGTCAATAGTGCTGGAAAATTTAGAGAAATATGTATCCCATTGCAATGTTCGTAGGTGATCGTCAACGCTGAACACCCTGCTCGCTGGTGAAATTTGTTGAAATAATAAAACGCTTGGTTTGTTTTCTCCCTTGTTATAAGCGACGGGTTCTGTCCCTTTAGCTCTCTAAACACGGGGAAATTTTTTTTTTTCTATTTTTCCTCTCTCCCCGTTTGGCGATTGCTACAGTTTTGAAAGGCATGCGATCCGTCGCTTCGGCGCCTACCGTCATTCGCTTTGATAATCACGAAATAATAACTGTCCTCGCGATTTGCCGTCTGTCAACGGCGGGGAGAGGCCGTGATTGGTCGGGGACGCGGCATAATGGGATTAATGAAGAGGGGAGCCGTCGGCGTGGCCACGCCCATTCAATCAACAGAGATCGAAATGTGCGATAAGGCCGGGTCGGGATTGGTTGGAGACAAATTGTTACAATCACGGCGGTGACGGGAGGAGATGAGAGGGAAAGAGGGGGAAGGGGAGGGGGACACAAAGAGAAGAGGTGGGGGAAGAAGAGGATGGGGGGGGGGGGTGACAAGCGATGAAGATCATGTGACGGGTGCGTTGAGCCAAATCTGAAGCAGTCGCCAACTAGTCACCAGGTATAAAAAAAAAAGACAGAAAAAAAAAAAGACTTGACAACCGCCGTCAACGTCTGTGCTTCTCAGAGGTTCGCCACTAGAATAAATTAAAACCACTCTGTTTAATTTTCAAACAAGTGCACATTCTTCACGCGTCATTAAGCGTTGCACGATAATCGGGTATTTCCTTTATTATTCAAGTGTGCAATTTTTATTTCAAGAATTTTAACAACATAATAGGTAAATTTAACTTAACTTGAGTTTTATTATATAATTTTTTTTCATTTTTTTTTCTTAATCCTAAATCTCTTAAACAGGATAAAGCCTGATTCGGTCTTTAAGTGGAATCGCGCGTCAGGAGTCAAGCGTCATACAGACAGCGTTACCTTTTGTCGCTAGCTTTCTTGTAAACATGAAGAAAATAATTGCTCCGTCTCGCCCAGGATGAGTCGCGGACAACGCTCTAGCCCGGCGCGGAGGGCGAAATGAGTTCCTCTTGTAGGCCCCCGCCCGCGGTCGACACGACTTGTGTCATTTTCAAATTTTACGCCACATTACACTGTTAATTTTTTAACGTACGGTGTCACACGTTAAGGGGAGGGGAAGGGAAGGGTGGTAAGCAGGTGACAAGCGCACCGGTTTTACTGCGAGAGAGAAGGGGAGATTTAGAGCTGGTATAGCTTGTAGCAGGCGTGTGATTTATATATATATATATATATATATATATATATATATATATATATATATATATATATATATATATATATATATATATATATATATATATATATGTGTGTGTGTGTGTGTGTGTTTAATTCGTGATGTGTGTATATCAAATATACATACAAATATATTATATATATATGCAATGTGTATGTCACGTTTTCAGTGCGAGGGATCGTTCATTATTGAGCTCATTATTCATTATTGAGGTTTAGGTATCTCTAGGAAACATTTTTAAACCTCATCGTAATCCTGACACGTCGTCACAAAAAGCCAGGTACCTATACTCTCGCCCTACCACCACCACCACCAATAACTTTAGGTTAATCTACCCCAATTAATGCTAATTCTAACAAGAATGTACTTGGATTGTCACCCCATGTTTTAAAATGAAATAATTAAGTTTATTCCACGTAAGATTTTTACCCCCCCCCCCCCCCACTTACCCCTCAACACATTCACGCACCAACTAGTATACCTGTCTTAACTATTCACGTGGTGCTTTGTAAGAACAACCACAAATCGAACTGACGCTTAGACGGGCTAAATGCTAGTGCTAGAGCTAGATAATGGCTTTACGACTCAGTTGGAGTTAACTTGAGATACATATAGAACTGGGATTATAGCTAGGGTTAGGAGCAGAGCTAAGGGAATAGTTTGGGACAGTACTGTGTTTAAATTTCAGCGTTTTTTTGTGCATAGGGGAGAGGAAGTGGGACGGCGTGGTCGAATTGTAGAGCTCTGATGGGTATCCGACACGTTGGGGAAAGTACAGGCGGCCGGGCATGTTGCTGACCACAACCCCTTCATACGCCCAGGTCAAGAAATGTATGAACTGTTCCATCTGCCCAACGGATAGCTAGGTCTATAGATGAACCTTTACTTTGGGTGAGGGAGCAAATTCTAGCCCAGGGGCGTAGCGACCCTTCCCGGCGCCTGGGGACAAACTTTCAATTCGCCCCCCCCCCCATATATGTTTATATTTATAATGCAAAACTGCAGCTAAAATGAGCTTTTAATTTTTTTCCAACCCATTTTAGCGCCCCCAGGGCGGCGCCCGGGGACATATGTACCCCCCCTTAGCTACGCCTCTATTCTAGTCTCCTCCCCCAACTTATCTCCCTCTGATAAGTTCCTACCCTAAGACTGGGGTGAGGGAGCGGGTTCAACCCCCCCCCCCCTAACAGTATCTGTTGGGTTCCCACCCTAAGACTCTCCCATACTCACTCATGAATATGCAAGTGAGCATCATCTCGCCTTGCTCACAACGTATTTCAACACATATACTTTCATGAAGCAAAGTTTCCTTAACTAGCCAAATAATCGCCCTACACGTAAATTAAAATCTAAAAATAATAAATCTCGTGCCATGAAAACTAGCTCCACGGGGATATTTCCACATTGACCTCTGTAAAGCAGTTTGATTAACCTAGCTCCCTCCTGTGTCCTTAACAGGTCCTCCCTCCTGTGTCCTGAACAGGTCCTAATTCCTGGAGAACTTACAACACTCCTATACAGCCATCTGTATCTGTGCTCCGAGCAGATAAAAATTGAACTAATCAACCGCTAGTGATCGCTAGGTACCCACTGAAGGTGGGTTTTTTGTGTTAACTAAGCTAATCAGAGGCTGGAGACCTAGCATTAAGGATTGGATTTTATAACATAATTCTCTCTGAATGTGTTAGGGGCGAACGATGAAACGTGACGATTTATTATTGTTTTTTTATAAAGTCAATAACTGTATCAATGATATTTCTCTATAATAATAACGAAAGAGGGGAATAGGGCTGGTAAGTAGGTCACCGACCAGTTCTACAGCTCAATAATACCTGCATGAGCCATAGAACTGGTTGGCGACTTACTTACCAGCTCTATTGCAAGACTCACGAAAAGAGTTTTTAAAGTTGTAAAGGATAGTATCTCTACTAAAGAGCATATGTATGACAGTTACTGAATGGTGGAAAATGTACTCGCGTTTTTAGCTTAACCTAAACCCTAACTGGTTATCTGTTGTAGACACGTAGCTGTTGTCGCCTGGTTTGGAGACAGTGTGGTCGGGAGGGAGATCGTATGATTGCTAAACCAAAAGTCTAGAGTTTGAATCATTGGGCAGATGAGGCTCGTTAGCTGGGGACAGCAACCCATCTAAGAGCGAAAACTCCAAAAACACACTTCTGTTGCCTCGTAGTTTGTTCTATGGTTAACACAGGCTATGAAAGCACATATATGTTGAAGTCGGAGACACCGGGCCATATGGCCCATATGGCGCATATAATGTTGACACTAAATCTTAATTGTGTTGGAAGAAATCCCCTCCAACATTACAATTAAGAGCAAAAAAAAAAAGCACACTAGGTTCCGAACCCACGACAACACCCGTTTCCTTTACTATTCTAGTGTTTACTTTAGCCTACACACTGATGCATGAAAATTATAACAATACATTTTAGGAGGAGGAGGTTCTATGGTAGTATTGGTAGAGCCCATACTGACCAAAAAGTCTAGAGTTCGGATCCATTGCTCGAGTCAGTAGAACTCTCGTGAGTCCACCCTAAGGCGACTGTGCAAACTGTTGACTACACTATCCTCCCCTATACCTTGGACGTTGAAACAGATGAACTCTACTTCATCTGTACAATGTGTCTTAGGCAACCAACAGGAAAATATGAATTTTATATGTTTTTGACTATATAGTTTAATTAGACTCGGGGTAAATATGTATGAAAATGTTGGCTGCAATTAGATATCGCTGTATGTAAATAGTAATTTTTTAAATATTGAAATATTAACAATTATTTCAACTACAATCTCATTGTGATTCAATGTCTTCTTTTGTGCTACAAAGACAATATGTTAAAACTTCTTCATGATTTTGGGTGTACCTTTCTCTTTTTAAAAAAATAAAATTAAAAATTGAATGCTGATGGAGAATTCACATCAGCCCATCATCACCAAGGTTCGATTCAGTTTAAAAAGTTTGAAAGAAAAAAAAAAAACGAATGCTGCAACCCGATTTATTAATGCTCGCTTACGCCAACCCTGAAATGAAAACCCCACTTTGATCCCGCCGGCACGCGGGTCGGGAAGTCACGTGTTAATCTCCTGTAATGCGCATGCTCACATTAAGGTGGGGGGGGGGGGGCGTCATATGAGTAATCGCACGCAGCAAGTCATGAGTAGGCTACCAATTAGGCGGCCGGTGTCGCCGAGAAGATGACTTTAAGTCATCACGACTTATCGTCAGTGGCGTCACAAGGCGGGGGCCGGGCGGGGGTGCGGTGCGCACCGGGTGACACAAATTAGAGGGTGACGCCAAATTTTTTTTTAAAAATCTGTCAAAATAATATTTTATCCAGTTAAATTGATGAAAATAGTAGGTGGGGGGGGGGGGGGGGGGGGAGTAGAAACAAAACTGAATATGCAGAATTGTTGGATGCTGTGTGTGCGTTGGGGGGGGGGGGGGGGGGGTGACATCCTATCAGAGTTTCTTCCAGGCATCTTCTCGGAGTAGGGGCGAACCCCCCCCCCCCCCCCCTCCCCCCCGAAAAAATTCTACCGCCCCCCCCCCCCCCCGAACGAAGTGAAATTTATATAATTTATCTAGAAAATATATACTTTTAACAGTGCTCACCCCCCCCCCCCCCCAAAGAAAGTCTACCGCCCCCCTCCCTAAAATTTCAAGTGCCCCCCCCCCCCCCCGGAGAAAAAAGTCTGGACGAAACACTGCATCCTATAATGTGACGTCACTGCTTACAGTCACTCCGTAGGCCTCTCATCAAGAGTAGTCTAAAATTTGATTGTGATGTAAAAATAAATTTGCAAATTCGAAAACTTAAATAGAAACTGAATTTACATTAT